ATATATTTTTTTTTTTAAATTAGAATATAGATATTAATTAGTTTTAATATTCTTCTTTAATCATTAATTAAGTAATATATATTACATATAAATTTAATAATGTTCAAAGATGCAAAACTTAATTGGTTAATAATCATTAATTAATCATTTATTCGCCAGTGCATTTATTCAAACTTATTAATATTCTATTGTGTATTTAATAATCTTTTTAATATGAAATATAATACATACATTTGTATGTACAATTTGTGTAAGATTTTTGTTTTACTTTATTTTATTATACATAAATATAATTTTGTTATGTATAAATTTATATTTAGTACATTGACATTTTGGAATTATATCGTAATAAAAAACTATTAGTAAAGAATCGATAGTATTCGTAGTCATGTCTATTTATTTCTAATAAAACTTCTAAATTGTAGAATATTGCATTCGCGCGCAATACAATAAATATAATTTCATGATATTACTTTTTAATGCCTCTATTGTTAACTTGATAAAAATATCTTTATGATATTGTAGTAAAACTGTAAGTAAAATTTAATGCATTATATTTATTTTGAAGTAAAATATTGTGATTAAAATTAATAAGAAAAAAAATTATTTGCGTTATTAAATGATCTATATGCCGCTCAGGATTGAAAATAAATATATACAATTCTTCCCTTAACAAACAAAATATATACAATTCTTCCCTTTCCTCTCACACGTGATTATGCCGATCGAAAAAATATTTCTCACGTGTAATTCGACCTGTAGTTGGCGCTCGTACCAAAGAGCCTTTGGCTCTTCTCTTAACGTTCTCTGCTTCTACCATCCGTCGGATGCTGCAGGATCCAGCAACATGGATCTGCTGAAGCGGTACATGTTTATCGACAGAAACGTACAGCTTAACGTACAGGATCAACAACAATTATCCGAATCTCATTGTCCATCTCAAAGGAAATTTGATGCAAAAAATTCGTGAGCATGGTTTTGATGATCTTGTAAGCGCGATCTTTATATGACAGAAGAAATTATGATGAAGGCTTAAATGAACGTGGTTATTTCCATATTACGAGATATTTTGCACGATATAATTCCCCCCGTGATATCTTCCCCAAATGAAACGTATGTACATATATTACATTAAAATGCGCGACGCGCATTGAATCGAGATTTACACTGTAATTGTGTTTGCGCGCGTATGATAGCCAGCGTTTAAATAAATCTTCGTTAAATGCAGACAACCGAGATCACGTTTCATCAGTTTGTGGCGCTTTGGATTGGTTAAGAAAAAATATATGCTGCCAAATACCTCTGACAGGATAACTAATTTCACGCGCGTGTATCTGACTGATTGTATCCGATGACGAATTGTTCCCTAAACGTGAACATCAATTTTGTAAAATTGGTGCACAAAGCGATGTAATAAAATTTACAACACGAGTAGAAAAGTGTGAAGTTAAAAAGTGAATTCGCAATTCAAAACTTTTTCAGTTCGAATCGAATCTCACCATAATAGTGAATAGATATCCGCCTCTCTCTTTTCTTCGGCGCGATTTCACCCGGGAGTGTCAGTCAATCTTTTTCTCGCATCGTCAAGCATTTGGTGCTCGTTGCGTGTTCCCCAGTGATGTGGGTGCGTGCGTGTATGAATACGCACGTCAGCTTAATGCTGTAGACGACCCGTTCGTGATTGATCGAACGCTACTGGCTAGACAGCACAGTTTGTCTCGGGATTCACCCCAGAGGTTGGAGGGTTGGCTTGACTTGGCGTGCTTACTGATTGACTTGGGCTTTGAGATTCGCGTAAGAGGTCGCCGAAGTCCTGATCGAAGTCGGGTCGAATCAGAGATGAGTGCCCACTAATGTACGGATTTTTTTACCTTTCTAAATTATTTCACTCGGTTAGTCCGAAGACATGGGTGCACCTGCACATATATATGATTATCAGTAGACAAGATTAGTTGAAAGACAGAAGAAAGGTAAAGAGGGAGAACAATGAAGGAGAATGAGAGAAGGAAGAGGGCAAAGAGAAGAAGGGTTGGCAAAGAAGTGAAGAGGCAGAAGGAAAGACAGAAGGCCAACGAGAGTATGAGAAAAGAAGAAAACAGAAGAGAGAAAGAGAGAGTGAAAACGGAGAGGGTTGTGCTGCTGCAAGAGAGCGAATGGACTCTGCCTCCAGGGATGTTCTTTTGACAGTCATGTCGCTGTCGTCTCCTAAGGTCCCCCGGCGGCATTGCATTAATCTTCTTCTTCCGACCCCGCCTTATTGAAAATTCTACAGAGCGCTTCACAGTTTTTGCCACGGACGTCTTTTATACTCCACTACCGCCGCCTCCCACGCACACACACATTCTCTCTCTCTCTCTCTCTCTCTCTCTCTCTCTTTCTCTCTCTCTCTCTCTCTCTTTCGCCGCTCACTCCTTCACTTCAGCCAAGCATCCCCCTCGATGAGGGCGAGTCGTCCCGTATACTATGCTTCGTCGTGCGTCTCGTCACCCGGAGAGGAGTGTCCCTTACTCGTCTCCCCATATGGCGTTACACCGGTGGTATCTATCGACGCGGACGCGTCCAAGCTTCAGGGCACAATGATCGATAACGTTATCAATCATCGCATCGGTAAGTCTCCAACCCCTACCTCCGGCAGTGGTCGCGTTGGACGCCCACACGCGCATTCCGCACACCTCGGTGACCGCGAATGCCTGCCACTGGAAATGCGCGCATCCGTCTCCCGATAAACGCATCTGTCAGACGGAGAGTCGCTTGCGGACGGGTCTCGCGAGAGGAAATAGTGGGATTTCGATTGCGTGAGCCGTCGAGAGTCATCGGAATTAATTCATTCACCGTTATGCCGTTCACGATACACAAGCTAAAGGGATCGGTGGAAAAAGGGTTCGATGTAGATTGTGGCCAAAAGTTCTGCCAAGAGATAATATGATGAGGATGCGCTTGATGAGAATTAATGACCGATACTCTTCGAATCGGTGCTTTTTGTATGGTAAGGTGGAGGAAAAACGAACTACTTATCGGTTTTCCACTCAGTACCATTTAAAAATTGCCAGTGTTAAATTGATTTTAATGCCAGATTGGATAATCAATGAAAATATTAACTTAATAATATCATTGTTCCTCTTAAGCATAAGTTAATATATTCTTAAAGCGAAAGCAAAGGGACAGCTCGACAACAAATAGTTATAATAATATTGCATTTATTGTTAATTATAAGATAAAAAATTTATATTTGATTTTTTGAAGATAATTATAAACAAAGTAATCAAAAAGTAATATAAAATATTTTATATATTTTGTGTGGCAATGCAAACTTATTTATTTTTTATTTTATATATATATATATATATCGTCTTATCATTTTTTTATTACAAAACGACTGCATATTTTTTTAACGAAATAATAAATTTACTGCGTTATTAAATTTTTACAATTAATAATAATATAGGTAATATATTAATATTCTTCACTTTTCAAAATTCAATTTTACAGTTTGCAATTATAATAGAACATTTTATTTTTATTTTAAGAAGAAATAATGTATAATAATAATTATTTTAATTTTTATTTATGATTTCAAATTACTACTTAGTTTGTTCGAAACATTTATTGTTAATATTGAAAAAAGGAAATAATTAATCTGTTCATTAAATAATCAATAATTATACAATTTAATTGAAAGTACATATTTGCATTACTAGTTAATTACATAATACATATTAATTCAACAAAAAGCAGATAACGTGCAGAGAGAATTTCTTTGTAATTTTAGTCGTAAAATTCCCAGTAACGAAAATTTGGCGTATGTAGTTTTAACCTATTTTAGTCAAGAATTCAAAGTATCAATTTCTTAAGGAAGTAGATTGAGAAAAGTTTCTTCTTTACTTTAAATCAAAAAAGTTTGAAAAATCCAGACAACTCTCGACACTGTTACGCTTCAGAGCGTAAAGCACATCGAAAGGGTTAATTAATAAACGCAACGCGTCGAATCCCCGTGAGTCGATGATGTTCGTGAAGTTCGACAGGCGTGGAGGGTGTTCGGGCTATTTTTAGAAGTTCTTTGAATTTTCCTTTTTTTCATCTCTTTTCCTGAAAGCTCCGTAGGAAGCATTAGTACACTCGGAGGCGTGTCATATCCTATCATCAGCGACGTAGATTAATGTTACGCCGCCGTGGCCGCGCGTGGCAGCGGAGATTGTCGCTTTTCACGGGTATTCCTGTATTTATGATGATAAGCCTGATTTCAACAACCTCGTCGTGGTGCACCATAGAAATTTTGATAAAATACACGCGGCAATAAAATGATTCTCGTGTACGGTTCTCGCTCACTGGGCCAACGGTGAATTGTTGTGACACGAACAGGGGAAAAGATGATTTATAACATACAAGCGGCAGTCCGTCGGATACACTGATAGGCAGGAAATAGTCACGGCTCTA